CCCCCCCACACCCCGCCCCGACGGCGGCCCGGCCCCGGCCCTCCCGGAGCCTGCCCCCCTCCTCCTCGGGCCGGCGGGCGGGCGGGGTCGGTGTCAGCTCGTGCTCTCCTTCCTTTTCCCTCGGCAGTTCCTGGCGCAGCTGATGATCTTCCTCATCAGCGTCGTCAGTTCCATCTTCTGCGGGCATCTGGGCAAAGTGGAGCTGGACGCCGTTACGCTCGCGGTGTCGGTAGGTGTTCCGTTGCTTTCATCTTTTCTTTGGGGTCGACCCGGTCCTAAAGCCTCGGAGTTTGCATTGTATTACACGGCTGCTGTCTTCCCTTGCAGAGTCGGCCTTGACCCAGGGGTACCTTGCTTTGCCTTATCTTTAGATTTGAAGGAAGATTGGGTCAGCTACTTAAGGAGGAGTTTCCGTCTTCGTAGCCATCCCGCCGTGGCCGAACGGCTCGGGATTGCAAGGAATTGGTAGCAATGGTAGAAATTGTGCTGGTGAATCGAACAGCACCGCATTTTTTTTTTTTTCCCGTTATAAAATCAAACCAAAGAACTTAGAGGTGATGTAGGTTGTCTGCCATGACTCCGAATTACACAATTCATCATGGGCGCAGTATTTCACGCTCGTAATAACGTGTCTCCCTGTGGGCCGTGGATTGAAATTGCACCTCCTTTGAAGTCTTCTGTCCCTGGGTTTTGGTTAGTGATGTGGTGGAAAGGTGCCTCCCTCTTGCGTCTCATCCAGGCTTTCAGAGAAAGTGAAAAACACTTCCAAGGTGGTGATGGCTAAGGTGGTCTCTCTCAGTCTTAGAAGATGTCCCCTCCGTCTCCACCGGAGGTGGTTATATGCCCTAAGATTGTGGCGGGACCACAGAAGTTTCTCGTTTCAGCTTTATGGTTGGGATGACTTCAGTATGTGGAATCAGACACTTTATTTACAGGTCTGTTATTGAGTGAACTAATTCAGGTGAAGGAATATTTGTGGTTCCTTTCAAAGTTTAGATGGGGCCTCTAGAAACAGTCAAGAAAGCAGAGAAGCTTTAAATACAGGCTGTTTACTGTGTCCCCTGGAGACGATGAACTTGACCCCTCCCCCCACATAGGTCATTGTGGCCCCGAGACACCTTGTACTCCTGGTCATTCTTTTGGCTGTGAACAGATAGTAACAGTGGGTTATTATTGGAAACTTGAAGGGTCACTTTCTTTCTGTTTCTCTACAGGGCCCACAGTTGGGAGTCTAACTTTTCCTATCACAGCTTCCAAACCTTTCTTTCCCCATGTCCTTTCTTAAAAATTTCTTTTAATTAATTTTTGTATGAGATATAATTGACATACAGGTATATAATGTAACAATTTGATATTTGTATATATTGTGAAAGAATCACCACAATAAATTTACTTAACGTCTGTCACTCTACACGGGTTTTTTTTTTTACATGTGATGGAATCTTTCTAATATTTACTCTTAGTAACTTTCAAATGTGCAATACAGCATTATTAATGATGGTCACTATGCTGTACATTGCATCCCCACATTTTACATATTTTGTAGCCCCCCCCCCCCCTGCCAATCTCTGGTAATACCCAGTTTGCTCTCTGTCTCTATGAGTTCAGTTTTCCTTTGTTTAGATTCCACGCGTGAGATTATATGGCATTTGCCTTTGACCGGCTTATTTCACTTAGCATAATGCCCTCAGTGTCCATCCATGTTGTTACAAATGGCAAGATTTCCTTCTTCTTTTATGGCTGAATAATATTCCACTGTGCATGTGGGAACATGCACGTGCACATGGGTGTGGACCACATTTTTCTTTATCCATGCATCCATCAGTGGACACTTAGGTTGTTTCCAGATCTTGGCTTACGAATAATGCTGCAGCAAACATGGGGGTGCAGATATCTTTTTGAGTTAGTGTTTTTGTTTTCTTTGGTTAAATACCCAGGAGTGGGATTGTTGGATCATATGGTAGTTCTATTTTTAAGTTTTGGAGGAGCCTTCCTACTGTTTTCCCAAGTGGCTGCAACAGTTTGCATCCCCTCCAATAGCGCACAAGGGTTCCCCATCTTCTCCAACACATGGTATTTCCTGTCACAGACCGTCACAGGTGTGCGGTGATAGTTCCTTGTGGTTTTAATATGCATTTCCCTGAGGATGAGTGATGTTGAGCATCTTTTCTAGTATCCGTTGACCATCTGTGTGTCGTCTTTGGAAAGATTTCTATTCAGATCCTCTGCCCAGTTTCTAATCGGATTGTTTGGGGTTCTTTTGCTCTTGAGTTGGATGAGTTCTTCATCTGTTTGGAGATGAACTCTTTATCAGATTCATGATTTGCAAATATTTTCTCCCATTCTGTAGGTTGGCTTTCCATTTCGTTCGTGGTTTCCTTTACCAGGTGCAAGCTTTTGCGTTTGGTGTAGTCCTGCTTGCTTGTTTTGGCTTCTGATTGCCTTTGTTTTTGGTGTCAAATCCAAAGAATCATTGCCAAGACCAATGTCGAAGAGCTTACTGCCTGTGTTTTCTTCTAGGAGTTTAATCGCTTCAGGTCTTGTGTTCAGGCCTTTAATCCACTTTGAGTTATTTTTTTGTATATAGTGTAAGAATGTGGCCCAGTCCCATTCTTTGCGCTGTGGCTGTCCAGTTTTCCCAACACCCTTTATTGAATAGTCTGTCTTTTTGCAGTGCCTGTGTTTGGACATTCCCTCCAGATATATCATCCTATACTTTTCCCTGTCAGCGCTATCCAGTGGCCAGAAAAGGCGGTGTTCATCGAACTGCGTGCTCATCTCTTTGGGTGTGTGGGCCCCACCTCCCTCCATCTCACTGGCTTCCAGGACCCCCCAAATCCACTTCAGGACTGACACACTGCACATTTTCGTCCCTCAGCATGGACCCACGGTAGATGTTTTAAACTTTACTTTCCCGCTAGCAATCTTTTATCCTGTCAATTCCCCACACCTCCTACCTGCCCTTTGACCTCGTGGGGTCTTCCCATGCCGTGGCCCCGCCATCTTCTCTCCTTCCCGGGATGGTGGGCCAATCCATGCCTGACCTCCCCTCACCTGCCCTTCAACACTGGATCTCCATTACTCCCCTCTTCAAGACCAGCCTTCTGCCTGTGTTCCAGAACGATCCTTCCTCTTCCATTTCTTCTCTTTAATTGGTCCCTCTGCACTCTGATAAACATATCCATCTCTCTCCTTTTCTGTAAAAACCATCTCCAGCTGCCTGTCTCCCTGCCCAGCCCCCTGTCTGGCCTCTAGCCACTTATGCTCTTTGCCAGAAAGTCTGTCTTACGTCTCCATTTCCTTTTCTCCCCATTGCAGCCTGGCCTGTATTTCTCTACCACTCTATTTAACATACCCTGACTAATGTTGTCAGTGACACCCCTGTTCTCCCTTCTCTAGAGGTCTCTCCCTAACCTGGCCTCAGCATCTCCTGGCCTCCCGGGGACTCTGCCTCCTCTTTGCTTCCACTGCTAGTTCTCCTCGGTTCTCCTACGCCCCTCTGACAGGCGTATCTCTGTCTCTTCCCCTCCTCCTCCTGTTCATTGGTGCCTCTCAAATTTGTGTCTCCCTCCTTGACCAAGGTGCCCCTGTCTGTGCCTAAGCGCCTCAGGATCTATCAGCTTGAATACGCCAGGATCCTCTCACACTCAGAAAATGTGTGAAGCCCTAGTGGCCATCCTCCCTGACAGTACCTAGACACTCCCCTCTGTTTTTACACCCCACCTCCCCATCGACCAGCAAGCCCTGCTAACTTCATTTCCCGCCTTTCTTAAAATGACTCCTCTTCTTCTGTTTCCTGCTACCACCATCCTGGCCCAGCCTTCACCCTTCCTGCCAGCCCTGGGCCGCCCCTCCCCGGCCCTGATTCCCATCTCGTCCTCGTCCAGTCCCAGCCATAAAAAAAAAAAAATCAGGCCACTCCCTGGCTTAACCCCCTTCATTGGTCCCGTCACCAGACAGTGAAATCCAGGCATGGGGCATCCTGCCTGTGGGTGCCCACTGCATTCTTTGACTTGCATGTGAGGCTCGGGCGGATCCTTCTAGATGCGGCTTAGGGGCATCTGCAGAACGCTTTCCCGGAAGGGAAGCCCCAGGCAGGGCCTGTCCTTCGGGTGCTCTGCCACATTCTCTGTCTCTGTATGCCCTCCTGCTGATCTACCAGCTCATGTTAAGTTTTGCCAAGCCTGGTTCCTGGCACAGATCTGGCCCAAGCGGGTATTTCAGAGAAGTACATAGCTCCGGGGAACTGTGAGCTGGGCCTCACCTGGGCACTTCCTGATCATCTTCCCGGTGCTGTTCCTTTATGCTTTTCCGTCCCAAGTCACCTGATGATAAGAGCATAAAAAGAGTTCCTACTATTTGAAGAAAAAGATTAATAGGTACAGAGGAACTAGAAACCTAAAATTCAATCAATAGGCCTGAAAAGGGAATGTGGGAAGGTTGGTATATCCCAAAGAGAGGAATTTCTGTAGCTAAGGTCTGAGGTCAGGGGGTCTGTGCCTGTCCTTCCTTGGGCAGTGGGCGGTTAGACTGCTTTTAACCAGCTGTTAAACTGGAACTAATTGCTGAGACAACAGCAGGCCCGATATCAAGAAAACTATTCATGAAAGCCAGATACGTTTAAGAGTGTTTTGCCTTGTGAAAAATTCTGTACCTGGAATGAGAGGACTTACAAAAGTGTTTCTTTTTTATATATATTTTTTTTAATTTAAAAGATTTTATTTACTTATTTGTGAGAGAGAGAGAGAGAAAGAGAACACGAGCAGGGGGAAGGGCAAGGGAGAAGCAGACTCCCCGCTGAGCAGGGAGCCCGACGTGGGGCTCAATCTCAGGACCCCGGGATCATGACCTGAGCTGAAGGCCGATGCTTAACTGACTGAGCCACCCAGGCGCCCCAAAGTGTTTGTTTTTTAAATAAAAGAACTTTAAAAAAAAAAAGATTTTATTTTTTTAAAGTAACCTCTCCCCCACACATGGGGCTCAAACTCATGACCCCGAGACCAAGAGTGACATGCTCCACCCACTGAGCCCACCAGGTGCCCCCCCCACCCCGAGAACATTGATTTATACCCCACCGTGTTTCATGAAGACTTTGAGTTGGTTTATAAAAATACCTTCAAGACAGAAGAGTAAATAGTTAGCGGTAGGATAGGGTCAAAGAAACATGGATAGAAAAAGACTCAGCTGGGAGGGGTTCGCACGGGAGAAGCTGCAGATGGCCCTCCGGACTCCCTGTCCTGGTAGTTTCCAGAAATTCCCAGCACGCCCCAGATGTTACTGAGCTATCTCTTCAGGGGAAAGATGGCCTTTCCTGATGTTGAGTCAGAGGAGTGTCTCTTGTTGCCTTGGGTGAAGTGGAGGACCGGCTGAGCATGCAGGCGGTCATTTTTAGGGGGAAGGGATGATGTCTGAGTTCAGGGTTAGCAGCCTGTGACGGGAATCAAGGCAGGCTCTGACAACGGACTTGACCTGGGGAGAGACTAGAAGCCGTCGAGGAAGAGGAATAGCCGTGCTTTCCTTTCTTTTCCTGGAAGGCGGAGGCGTGTTTGGAGCTTTAGCCCCGACGCTGCCCTGGGCTGGCAGGCAGAGCACAAGGTGTCTTGGGTGTGGGCACCTCCTACTGCTCCCTGGACCAGGGCCCAGGGGACTCATTCTGCATGTGGCCTGTCACCGACTCCCGGGGGCTAGAGTCCGTGACCTTGGTCAGCCAAGAAGCTAACTCAGCGGGGGTTGACCTCCCTGCTAAATGTGAGACCAGGGATGAAAACGAGGGCCTCCAGCTCTCCCCATCCCCTGTCATTGCAAAACAGCACCTTGGGCTCTGACCCTTACCTGCAGGTTACCGTCTCTGCCCTTAATGGTCAGGGGCCCCGGGTGAGGCCGAGGCGAGAGGGTGACACAGAATGAGTCCCCGTTTCTCACTAGAAGATTGAAGCCTGGGGCCAGACTTCCCAGCCTCAGGCCACCAGCTGAATGAACGCAGCTTTCTGGGACTTGTTCAAGTGACCCGTAAGATGGGAGTAGTGCTCACGACACCTCGCATGGCAGGGGCCTGGAACGGGGCCTTCTTGTCGCATATGCTCAGTGCGGGTTTGCTGTCATTATTATTAAATGCACGTCGCAGCCCAGGGGCATTGCTGTTAGGTATCAGTCACAACTTTTTCACATAGACGCTGTAACGGGTGCTGGGTTGAGAAAAATTAGGTTGTGAGCCATGCTGGTTGACTCAAAGTGATTGGGATCCGTTAGTCGGAGGCTTTAGTTGTGTTTACAGTCGACAGTGGAAGGCCTTTAGCATGGGATCGCGGGGTGCTCCTTTGAGATAAGCTGCCTTACGTCACTCCTTGGTGTGGAGGGGCCTGCTGGCCTCGAGGCTGCCCCGGCCGGGCCCCGGGGTCCTAGCTGCAACTCTCTCGTTCCTTGCAGGTTGTGAACGTTACTGGGATTTCCGTGGGGACTGGCTTGGCCTCGGCTTGCGACACCCTCATGTCTCAGGTGAGGCCCCTCCCCCCCCCACGCCTGTTGTGGTCAGTTCCCTTTCCTGTGGGACACAGCGTAGGGGACTGTCCCCTCCGTGGCTTTTGTTGCCTCTTCTTTGTCAAATACCATGCTGCTGACGGCTGCAGATACAAGGAGGGTCGGCTTTCCTAATTGTGTCTTCGGGGCCTGTGTGCTCAGGTGGGGCTGGGTTTTCCTTCTCTCCCTTTGTGATCTCTCCCACCCTAAAACTGTCCTCCCTCACCCGATGTTGAAGACTCACAGCTCCCTCTCCCACCCCCATGTCTCTCTCCTGAGGGCCAGGCTTGAATGTCGGTCACGTCCCAGACACCTCAAACTCAGCTCGAGCAGAACTAAACTCGTCAGGCTTTCCCACCCGAACTGTTTCTCTCACAAGAATACACCACCCTCCGCTCAAACCAGAATCCTTCTTTATCTCCCATCTCCATGTGTTAGCAGAGAATCTGCTCATTTCTCTCCATCCTCATTGGCTGTCATGGGATTGGGAACTCTGGGTCGGTGTGCTAGCATCATCAGAGGTCAGATTCTGGTCCAGGCCTTTCGCTCCTGGCTCCGTCTTCCATTTCACCCACCCGCTTTACAACCCTAGTGGTTTCCCTGCTAGGATCCGAGGTGCTTGGGGAGACAGGCTTTCTCCCATTCAGTCTTTGGATCCCTGTGGTTCAGCCTTGTGCTTGCTATGTAGTGGGTACCCTGGAAGTTTGTTGAATGAGTGAGAGGAAAGCAGAGAAGCAAGCAGAGATGGGTAGATGGGTGGACAGATGGTTGGTTGGATAGATGGATGATGGATGGCCAGGTGGGTGGGTGGAGGGACAGATGGATGGTTAGATAGATGGTTGTGTGGACGGTTGGGTAGATGGATGATGGAT